GACGCCACGCGGCTCATGGAGACCTTCCAGGCCCCCCTCTCCCGCGCGGCCCCCCCGGGGAATTGCTGTGCCTCTGGACCTGCGGGGTCGCGAGAGAAGAAGTCGTGGCGGGCCCGGCTTTCTCACCGTGCTATCCCTGACCTTCCAGAGAGCTATTTTTTAGCACTGGAGGCCTAAAAGCCTAAAACAACTAAACGAAACAGCCTAAAACTAAGACGTAGAATAGCTCTGGGACAGGTGTTTAAGTCGGGTGCCATTTTTTAGCCCTCCTGGAAGGTCAGGGATAGATCCCCCCTGGAAACCATTCTCGGGGCCGGGGGCTGGTAAAAAAAAAACGGCCCACGAGGAGAAGCCGGCCTCGGGGAAGAGGCCGATGCCGCGGGAGCGTCGGAGGAGAGATGGAGCGAGAAGAGAGGCGGAGGGCGTCGGGCCAGGGCCGCTGGCTCTTCGTGTTTTTGCTGCTCGGGTGCCTGCTGCTCTTGTGTCCGCCCTCGCTCCTTCACGGCGCGTCTCCTCGCTGTATTGTGGGCCCTGCGTGGGCCAGTTCCAGGAAAGTGGGATTCCGCGACCACCTGCGAACCCCACCCTTGCGGGTCAAACCGATGCTGGGATATAGGGCGTTCCTGTTGAGGTTCACCTCGCAACTCCCTCGAATCCGTCTGGCTTGCACGGGCAGGGTTTTCAGCGGCATGCGCACGGCACGGTGGAAGGCGCATTGTCGTGCGAGAGCCTCGTCTTGTCGCTGTGTGCATCTCTCTGTCGCTAGAGAGTCTGAACCAGGTGTCTCCGTTCCCGCCCCCTCGCCCTCCTCCCCGCCCTCCCTTTCACATTCCCTTTCGCCATCCTCGCCCTCCTCCTCCTCCTCCTCCTCCTTCCTTCCTCCTCCTCCTCCTCCTCCTCCTCCTTCTCCTCCTCCTCCTCCCTTCCTCCTACGCCTCTTCATTCGCCCTCCAGCCTTCCCTGAGCCTGTGCTCCACCCTCGCACCCCTCCTCACCCTACTATTGCCATCCTCCACCTTCGCCACCCTGCCCTTTCCCCTCTCCCCTCCTACCTCCCCCTCTCTCCACTCTCTTCCCACTCCTTCCCCTCCCCGTTCCCCAGCTTGTGGATTTTTGCATTCACCGTTCGCTTTTGACAAATATCGCTAGTCTCATTACCAGCGCCATCAGCATCGCCGTCCTCCCCATCATCATCATCATCATCATCATCATCATCATCATCATCATCATCATCATCATCATCATCATCATCATCATCATAATCATCATCATGATCAGCATCATCATGATAATCATCATCGTCATCATCATCAACATTATAACAAGCATCAGCACCAGCATCATCATCAGCATCATCATCAGCATCATCACCATCATCAGCAGCATCATCACCACCATCATCATCAATACCTTCAGCATCATCATCCTCAGCATCACCATCATCATCATCCTCGTAGTCGTCGTCGTCGGTGTCATCATCATCATCATCAGCACCATCGCCGTCATCCATCATTAACATCATCATCACCATCGTCGTCACCATCGTTGTCATCATCATCATCATCGTCATCATCATCATCATAGTCATCACCACCATCATCAGCAGCAGCAGCCACCTCCGCAACAACAGCATCCTCATCGTCACCACAACCATGATCATCAGCATCATTATCATCATCACCATGATCATCGTCATCGTCATCGTCATCGTCATCATCATCATCAATCATCATCATCGTCATCATCATCATAATCATCATCGTCATCATCACCACCATCATACCACCACCACCATTACCATCACCATCAGCATCACCACCATCACTATCAACATCACCATCGCCATCGCCATCACCACCACCATCACCAGCGCAATCACCATCACAATGACCATCACCATCATCAGCACCATCATCAGCATCGTCCTTGTCATCGTTATTGCCATTGTCATTATCAGGGGCGTCCTCACCATTTGTTTGTACCATCCTCACGAGCATTATCAACGTCATCAATCGCATATCGTTACTGTCCGATCATGTTATGGTTGTTAGACTTGGCAAGGAATAGTGGACCGATTTAGAACTCTTTCCGCTCCCGAACACCAGTCTCACGTTGTCATGATCTCTTGCTTGCCGTTCCGATACGTTTTCCGTATGCTCGTGTCGCCAGGGGTATGACAATTGGATATTCGAGAGCCCCAAAGTCTGCGAGGCCCCGCCAGCTATCAAAGTGGTGAAGCATATTGAACAGCTTAGAGATGAACCAGAGGTTTGAAGGGACTGTCCAGACTGAGAGGGCCTGGAGCAGCAGTGTAGGAACGACGCGACCAGGAATGAGTGCTTCTCTTCTTTCCCGACCTGAAAGTCGGATAGGGCGAGCGCGAGGGATGAAGACGGGCGGGCGATCGATGCATCCAGAGGGTATGGGTTGAGCGTGTCAAGTGTCGAGGTTGACATTTCATGTGTGTTCCCGACTTCACCCATCAGCTTCTCCTCAAACGTTGCCTTACACACCTCGTGCCCAATGTTACCATGTACATCCCCCAACTCGTCAAACCATCTTTGCCCCTATGCAGCCTGAACTTTACGGGCGCAGCGTGTGCATCTCTTGAGCGTGCCCCGTGCCCCCGGTTTGCGGCTGTCGGGTGAATCCTGTGAGACTTCTCCAGAGCGGATCGACCCCCTCTCATTCAAGCCGCCACGTTCTTCCCGTTTCGTTCCCGCATATATCATTTCTCCCCCGCCTTTCCCCCTCCTAGCTTTCGCTTTCCCCCCTTCCCCCATGTCCCTCTTTGTCTCTCGCTGTCTCTCCATGCCACGTCTCCTGCCCATGACGCTCCCTTTCCTGATTTCCGCTCTTTTACCCCCTTTTTCTTTCCTGTATTTTTCTTCCTTTTCTTCTGTTCCTGCTGTTGCTGCTCATGTTCATCCCTCTTTCCTCCTCTTCCTTCCTCTACTTTCTCATCCCTCCGTTCTCCTTGTTCCCGCCGCCGGGTTAAACCTCCTCGTGAGAGGTTTGACCATGCTTGCGACGAGGGGGAAGGAAGTTCCAACATCCGTGGGATGGGATTTGCTACAGCACCTGCCCTGGCAGCCCTACTTGCGTCAGGTACATACTCATCGTGCAAGCCAATGGTCAATTGCGTCTGAATGCTTCGTACCACAATCAAGCAAGCGACTATGCCACCCGTGCAGCAGAGTTGCATGGATAGTGCCATTGCGACAGAGGTAAGCGGACTCACCAATTCCTTATTGATGATCAAACAGCAAGGAGCCTGGCGCCTTGACGTGGATCAGTAGAGAGAGAGAGAGAGAGAGCGCAAGGCAGATGTGCAGTGATGGAACTCTGTTGGCAGTGATGTGAAACTGAAGAGAAATCGGCGACGCTGACACCAGTGACGAGGAGGGAGGGGGCAATGTTGCAGCTGCACGTCCAGCAACACCCTGCGCGGGGCTGGGCGCGACCTGGACCTCCCCCCCTCCCCGGCATGCAGCGCGGCGGCGGCGTGCACGGGCTGCGCTCCGTGCTGAATGGCCGCCTCGCTGCCGCTGGAGTGCATCAGTGCCAGTACTTTCGCAGTACCTTCGGCGCCCGTGAAAGAAGTACTCGTGATTAGGTACCCGCGGGCAGCCCGGGAAAGGTACTCGAAGGTACCAGCGGGTAGTCCAGGAGAGGTAATTGGGAGGTACCCGCGGGCTGTCCAGAAAAGGTGCCTCCCTCCCTTCTTCCCTCCCTCCGTCCCTCCGCCCCCGCCCCCTGCTCAGTGCTCCGCGCTCCCTGTTCCGTGCCCTCTCCCCCCCTCCCTGCCTCCTTACCTCCCCTGGGACCTGCCTCCTCAGAGGCAGGCGCACTCCCCCCTCCTAGATCCCAGCCCAGCTCTGCCTCCTCCTCCCGTCCACCTCCTCCCTCTCCTCTTCCTCTTCCCTGCGGGTCCCCGCTCCCTGCTCCTCCCTCTCCCTCCTCCTCCCTCCTCTCCCTCCTCCCTCCTTCCTCCGTGCTGCATCCCCCCTCCCCTGCTGGAGGGGGCGCCTCCCTCTGCCCCATCGCCCCCCTCCCCTCCCCCCACCCCGCCAGGTGTCGTGGGCGCACCCCCACCAGGGGCTGCACGAGTGCGCCTGCCCCCGCCCCCGCGCGGCGAGGAGGCCGAGGAGGGGGGAGGGGCAGGAGGCGGGAGGTGGGAGGAGGGGGCGGGGAAGCCTTGGGAGGGGAAGTCTGGGGTGGAGGAGGAGCATCAGGAGGAGGAGGAGGAGGAGGAGGAGGAGGAGGAGGAAACGGAGAAGGAACAGGACAGTGATAATAGGAGGATGATGAGGAGGAGGAGGATGAGGAGCAAAAGGAGGAGGAAGAGGAGGAGGAGGAGGAGGAGGAGGAGGAGGAGGAGGAGGATGAGGAAGAGGAGGAGGATGATGAGGATGAGGAGGAGCAGGAGGAGGAGGAGGAGGAGGAGGAGCAGGAGGAGGAGGAGGAGGAAGCTCACGACCTCTCGAGTGGTCCGTGATCTACGTGCGCCGCCCGCAGGTGAGCAGCCTCGCGGCGCTGAGCCTGGGGGCGGCATCGGAGCCCGAGGCTGCCGACGCCAGAAGGCGCGCCACTGGAAAGCAGGCTCGATCAGCCGGAGCGAGCTCGAGCGGCACTACCATCGAGTCAGAGGCCGCCAACGCAGCCAAGCGCCAGCGGACGCTGTCGAGACGGTTGAAGCGGAGGCATCTGGCGGTCGTCCGAGCGATCGAGAGCGGGGTGATGATCGACCGCTACCTGGAGTCGAGCGCGGCAGCGCCGCGCGTGCGAGCCCAGTGCTGTCGGGTGCTCGAGCAGGTGAAGGAGAGGTGTGGCCGCCAGGGCTTCCTCGAGCTGCCCTCGGAGACGATGGACGCGCGTCTGGTTCATTGTTTCGCCTCGCTCCACCTGCAGGGCGAACGGGCGTCCACGGGCAGGTATGTGGCGGCGACAGTGAATCGCTCCTACCCGAAGTATGGGCGATGGGGGGTCGTGTCTCTTCTGCGTTTGTGGGGGGCTCCCCAGGACCGGGAGCGGTTGGCGCATGGCCGAGCCAGGATGCCAGAGCCGCTGATTATCTGGTGCGCCCTTATGCTTGGCCTGGTACTGAGAGGCCACCGCGTGATAGCAGTCTTTCTAGCGCCGGCGTCTTTGAAGTATCCGAGGCCGTCCCCCCTCTTCAGGTTGCGCCCTGGGGGCGCCGTGGAGCCGCGCGGTGGGGGCCGCCGCCGGGGGCTGCTCGTGCGCCCGCGGGAGTGGGCAATGCCAGACGAGGTTGGGAAGTCCGACCTGAGCGTGGAGTGGAGCGGGACTCGACGTGGCCGCTGTGGCTCGGGCCTGTTCTGGCGGAGCTGCAGAGGAATACGCCGCAGCAGGTAGTGTGGCAGTTCGACTGCCCCATGCTCCTGCGCCAAATGAGGGACACCTGCAGTGCGCTTCAGCGGCGGCGGATAACGCAATGCCAGGCGCGGCGTTCGGGGGCGAGCATCGACCGTGCCAGAGGCGAGCACAGCCAGGCGGAAGTGCAGCGCCGCGGAGGATGGCTGCAGCTGAAAAACATGGCCGGGTACAAGAAGAGCGCTCGGCTGGGGCAGCGGGCGCAGATCCACAGCCCGACGCTTCTGGCCTACGGCGAGCAGTTCCTGCGCGAGCCGGGGCCCGCCTGGCCGCGGGGCCGCGCGGCGCCGCTGCCTGGCGGCATCCAGCCATCGCCTCGTGGAGCAATGCGGTGCTGATAGGAGACCAGGCGGGCGCAGCCGGATCAAAACTGGCCTCCCATGGCATATCCACTTGGATGTGGCGCGCAGACACGTTCGGCGACCAGAGGTTGGGCGCTCCGTTTGAGCAGCGGGTGTTGGGCCATCTGCGGCGGAAGGAGACGTTGCTCCTGTTTGTCTCGCCCACGCTGCCAGGCGCCAGCATGGCAAGCAGCGACCGATGCAATCACTACAGAGTGAAACCGCTCGAGACTGAGTCGCCTTGTTAGAATGTGTTGGAAGGCTCGCGTTCCGTTTGTCCTTGAGATGCCACAGGGAAGTCGGGTGTGGTTACATCTCTCGCCTAGTACTGATGACATGCCTGCCGCCTGTGTTAGGACATTTCCAGTGATAGAAGCATGTTCCGGGCGTCTTGGAGGCACGGCTTCACTTTCATGTATGTCGGGCTCTAGCCTGAGGGCTTGGAGGGGCTCCACCGTGTGTGCCACAGTCGCACGGGAACCTGCGATAGCACGGGGCTCCCATGCGTGCTGTTGAGAGGAAGGAGCCGTGACGGCATGAGCCGCGCAATCTCAGTCACCAGGAGGCCTGGCGGTTTCAACCACGCGCTCGCTAGGTCTCGCTAGGTCTCTAGTGTCCCTTGCGAGAGCCCCCATCTATAATGCCAGCCCTGTGTAGGGGGTTTGGGGGTCTCGAGTCGAAACCAGTTCGACTTTGCTAGGCTGTGCTTGTTCTCGGGAGGAGACCGTTTTCCTCGTCCCTCGGCTGTGGAGGAGCAGCCCGCTGACCGCAGCGAGCAGTCATTTCCAAAACTCAGTTCTCCGCCGAACGAAACAGCATATCATGGGGGTGCGTGCGCGGACATGGTTAGTGGGGAGAGGGGTGTAGTTTCAGGTTTGTAGCAGCGGTGGTCGGGCCTCTCTCTTGCGTGCACCCGCTGCGACCGAAGCCCTTTTTTGGTTCGCCCGCCCGCCCTGCCCAGGAGGGGGGAATCTCGGGTCGAAGCCAGTTCGGCTTTGCCATTCTGTGCTTGTTCTCGGGAGGAGACCGTTTTCCTCGTCCTTCGGCTGTGGAGGAGCAGCCCGCTGATCGCAGCGAACAGTCATTTCCAAAACACAGTTCCCCGCCGAACGAAACAACATATCATGATGATGAGGATGATGGTGATGATGGTGATGACGATGGTGATGGTGATGATGATCTTCATGATGATCCTGACAATGGCGATGATGATGATGGTGGCGACGCTGCTGATGATGATGACGATGATGATGACGGTTATGGTGACGGTGATGGTGGTGATGGTGGCTCGTGGATGGTGGATGGTTGATTGTTGACGGTGGCTGGTGGATGGTGCTGGTGATGGTGATGATGCGGTTCATGCGGGTGCCGATAATCATGATAATGACGATGATGACGGTGATTGTAATGATGATGGTGGTGGTGATGTTGACGCTGATGATGGTGATGGTGGTGGTGGTCGCGAAGACGATGATGCGGATCGTGCTGATCGTGGCCATGGGGATGATGACGGTGTTGACGATTATTGCGTCAATCGTTATGATAAAAAGGTGGTGTGGTTTGATCTGACGGCGATGGGCGTGGTAGTGGTGTGGTGGCTGTTGTGATACTGGCGAGGAGGAAGACGACGATGACGATGATGTTGGTGGTGGTACAGGTGATGTGCTGCGACATAGTCCGGTTTCCTGGCAATGTGGCTATAGAGGAGTAGGAGCAGGAAAATGAGGAACAGGGTTCAGAGGAGGACGAAGGTAACGAGGCGGAGGAGGAGTTGGAGGAGGAGGAAATGGAAGGAGGGCCACCCTTTCCCGCTCCCACCCTCCGCCGCGCTCCCAAATGTTTTAAGTTTCTCATCTTCAGCTTTGCCCCCGTTGTCCCCCTCGCCTTCGCCCCCCCTCGACCTCGTCCGCGTCGTCGTCACTGCCATCGTCGTCCTCCCCCTCTGCATTCACGAACCTCTCGCGCGGCCAGCCCATCTCCGAGGGGCCTTTTTTTGGCCCGCCCGCTGTGCCCTCGCGGGCCCCGCTCTTCCGGGCGCGTGCGTCCGCGCCTTGCCCCTGGAGCTCCTCCTGCAATCCTCCAGGGGCCCCTCCCAGGAGCCACCTCTTAGACCCCCCTGAGCTTCTCCGCCCCGGCCCTTCCTCTCTCCCCCCTCCTCCTCGGTTCTCCGCCTCTCCTGGCCGTGCCCCTGAGCCTGGGCGTCGCCCGCCCAGGCACGTCGAGCGCTACCGCAACAGCCCTGTGATGCACGGGTGCATGCCAGACGAGGCGGCTTGCGATTGCGTGCGTGGGGGAGGCGGAGGAGGCGGAGGATGTCGAGGAGTAGGTCAAGCAGGGAGTACGAAAATGAGGAGGAGGAGGAGGCAGAGGTTTATCTTTGGGCCTTCGGCGAGGTTTAGGGGGGGGAAGGTGATAAAGCTTAGGATGAGGCTGGTGTTTGAGCAGGATGGGGAGTGGATATTCAGGAGGTGGTTCCACAGGAGGAGGAGGAGGAGCAGGAAGAAGAGCGGGAGGATTGGGAGTAGGGGTATGGGGATCTCAGGGAGGATGCGGTGGAGGAGAAGGACGAGGAGGAGAAGGAAAAGGAGGAGGAGGATTGGAAGGAGAAGGAGGTTCAAGAGAAGGAAAGAAGGAGGACAAGGAATAGAGGGGGACGATGATCATGTTCTTATCAGAGTGAGGGTGGCGAACGGTCATTCGCTGTCCCTGGGCGCTTGGCTGAAGTGAGGTTCCGCGGAGCGGATTGTTGGTGCGCTGTTGTTGTGGTGGTTGTTGTTGTGTTGTCTTGTTGCTGTTGTCGTCGTTGTTGTTGAGTTCTCATTTCGAAAGAATAACCAATTCCCCCCCTCCGGTAACCATTGCTTTTTTTCGATTGAAGTGCTTCTCCCGGGGGGGCGCACCTTGGTTAGTACGTGAGGTGTTGCCAAAGTGTGTTGTTGGCCCCCGGTTTATAACAACAGCGGCTCCCGCCGGATTATTCCTCACAACTTATTCCCAAATCGTGCTCTCGCGCGGGACCTCCTCACAATTTATACAGGAATCGCGCTCTCGCGTGGGACTGCCTCGCAATTTCTTCAGACGCCGCGCCCTCGACACTCAGGGATCACGCTCTCGCTGTGGATTTCCTCACGATTTACTTGTGAATCGCGCTTTCGCTCGAGACTTCATCGCGGTTCATGCAGGACTCACGCTTCAGCAGCCCGCCTGCTTGACCTGGCAGCTAGGGCCCGCTTTCCCGACTCGCCCGTCAGGGTCTGCCCGCCCGATTTGCCAGTCTGCTTCTGCCACGAGTTCTTTGCTCCTGGCCCCCCTCCTGCTAATCCCGTGCTCCATCCTTCTCTCCCAGAGAGAAAAGGTTAAATGAAATATCCTGTCACTTCAGGGATAATATCATACATGTTGAGGCATTGTGCCGTCCATGCAGGTGGTGCCGTCCATGCAGGTGGTCGCACGTGTGCCATCCTTCTCCCCTCCCTTCATCCGTCCTCGCCCGGGCCACCAGGACGAGGAGGACGGGGCCAGGTGTGCTCGAGCCCAGGCAGCGGAGAGCCGCGCCCCGCGCCCGCGCCTCGCGCCTCGCGCGGCGCAGGGGCCGTTTTGGGGGGCGCCCGAGGCGCCTGCTCCGCTGGCGTCGCCGTCGGTCGCCGCCGTGATCCGCCGTCCGCCGTCCGTCGTCCGCCGTCGTCGTCGTCGTCGTCGTCGTCGTCCGCCGCCGCCGCCGCCGCCGTCGTCGTCGTCGTCGTCGTCGTCGTCGTCGTCGTCGTCGTCGTCGTCGTCGTCGTCGTCGTCGTACGTCGTACGTCGTTCGTCGTCGCCGTCGCCGTCGTCGTACGTCGCCGACGTCGCCACCGACGTCCGTGGTCGTCGTGCGTGGTACGTGGTACGTCGCCGTCCTTGTCGTCGTCGTCGTACTCGCCGCCGCTGCCGTCGTTGTCGTCGTGATCCGTCGTGGTCCGTCGTGTTCGTCGTCGTCGTGGTCTGTCGCCGTCGTCGTCGTCGTCGTCGTCGTTGGCGTCAGGGCTTCGCTGGCGTCGTTGGCCGCGCTCCGCTGGCCGTGCTCGTCGGCGCGTCTGGTCAGGTTGGGCCTCGTTGGCGGAGCCTCATCTTGCGTGTGGCTCTGTTGCTCTTCCCCAGACTTCCAACGTCTTGGACAAATTTGTCGACGGATTGAATTTCGTCGTTTGGGGGCCGTTTCTGGCCCTCAAACGAAGCATACTCAGGATAAAACGCTGGTCTTGGGGAGTAGGCCGGCATTTAGAGGTCTGGGATCCGCTTCCTTCTCTCCTCTGCTGCCGCTGCTCCTCCTCCCCTTTCTCACTTTCCTTCCCCACTGTTGCTGCTGCTCCTGCTCCTCCTCTTCCTCCTTCCACTCTCTCCTGCCCTGCCCTTCCTGCTTCTCCTCCCCCTTCTGCCTTCTGCCTCCTGCCTCCAGCACCCAGTCCGCTTCTCCTGCTCCGTCCTTCTCCCGGCACCCCTCCTCATGCTCGCGCCCCTCCTCCTGTTCCCTCGTCCATCCTCTCTCCCCCCTGCCCCTCCCTTCTCGTGCACCTTCCCCGACTGCCTCGCTTCCCTCCTTCTCCTCCCGACATCTCGAAGCCCTGGATACCAGTCGCCTCTGGAGGGCTCGCTTGGAGCCATCCGGCAGCCCGCGGCCCGTGGCACCTCCGACGCCATCGCTCGCGATCTCTGCGCGGAGGGGGCCGTGCAAAGTGGACTCTCCTTCTTGCGCGGTGCGGTGCCTCCCCTCGGGGCCCTCCGGTGCCACTGGCAGTGGAGGTCGCCCCAAGGAGCTATATTTACCAGTTTGAAACATATCCCTATCCCTATGTTTGACATCACCTCACCTCGATGCCGATCTTCAGGATTCCCTCAGTTTCTGAGGGCCTATCCCTGCGATTGTCCTCGCTTTTTGCTCGCCCACCTTAGGGATAGGGATAAGTTCGAGGCTGGTTATATATATATATATAGATATAGCGAAACGGGCCCAGGGGAGCGTGCTGCCACGCCGGAAGGCGGAGTCGAAGTCGCTCGCCGCTCCCAAATGCTGGGTCCGGGGCATTCGCGGCGCCCGCTGCGGGCGCGGGCACCGTGTCGACGATCAAGAGGCCCCCACCCAAACAAAATTATACCCTGAAAAAGCGACAGGGGTCGAAGAAACACCCTGAAGCCCGTGGGGGCCAGAAAATTTGGATCCTCGAGCAAAGCGCAAGAGTCGCACACAGCCCGCGTCTAAACTTTTCAGGGGGTCGGCCCTTTCGGCTCCGCCCGAACGGGCCCTCGCGAGTCGCCAATACGGCCAGGCGGGCGCTGTCGGGCAGGTCCCGCTTCCGATCCCTGGGGCAAGTGAAACGTTGGGTCAGCGCCGGTTGGCGGCGCTCGCGCTTTATGTGGTTTGAGGTCGAGCTGAGCAGATACGGCGACGGCCGATATGCGGTGCAAAACCCAGTCGGCCGGTCTTTTGAAGATAATGCCCGAGCCCCCCCAAAACAGTTTTATGCGATAGTTGCTTTGTCGTTTGAATCTCAGGAGGAGGAAGAGGGAGGATGGAGGATGCCTCTCCTCTTGATAATCTGCGTCGTCGCTGTTCCCTCCTGCCTCTCCTCCCGTAGTCGTAGTCCCTCCTCCTTTCATTTCTATCATCCATCATGGAGCAGGGGTGACAGGGGAACCAGTCGGAAGAGGCAGAGGAGGCCGAGGGAGCAGGGATGAGGATGTTAAGACAGCACGGATGATGTAGATCATGATGTGGATGAGACTGAAGAAGTATGAATGTGATGATGGTGATTATTGTTGTGGTGACGGTGACAACGATATGAGTATGACGCTGTTTGTTGTTTGGTGTGTTCTGTGTGAATGTTGCTGGTGGTGATGGTGTGGTACATGCCGTGCCGAAAGTTCCTGGAATGTGTGTTGTGAGTGCGCCCGGATACGTCTTGCTCACAGACATGAGCTCACCGCGACGGCAGTGCCGAGGGGGACGAGGGCTCAGGAGGCACCAGGTCCACCGTTCCCCCCCAGAAGCCCAGCAAGACATTCGTCCTGCGTGGACTGGCCAGGATCCCGCTCCCCCAGTGCAATATGATAGTGCAGTGATAGTTCGGGAAACGAAAGACCCCACCCAGGAGATACGTGGGTCCCATACAGTGGAAACCCATGCCAAGCAACACCCTGCTTGCCTCCAGGGTGCTCTGTTTTTTGGGGGTTTGGATGGTCTCGCTATGAAAAGCGTGACGTTCCCAGACCAAAAAACAGTGGACGTCCTGGGGTCTCAGGGTCGGGTTTCTTGCGGAAGGTTTCTTGTGGTCGAGCTCCTACTGTAATTCCAGGGTGGATGTACATCCCGCAGTTTGGGTTTCGTGTTGGCGTCGTCCTAGGGTCATTTCGATAGCGCCTCAGGGCAATGATGGGACCGTGGTGTCGTGTTCTGGCACTGCTCCGATCACTTTTTGGGCCCGCCTAGATGGTCATTGAGACATCTCTTGATCGCCCGTTGCATACTCTGGATTGGGGTATTTAACTGGGGCGGGTGATTCACCTTCCGACTGAGCTTGCCCCATCCCGCCCCCCTCCACTGTCCTCCCCTTCCTCCTCCTCCTCCTCCTCTTCCTCCTCCTCCTCCTCTTCATCCAGCTCCCCTCCACCCGTGCCGACAGCACGTGCCCCCCCCCCCCCGGCGGACTCAAGGGGGGGGAGGGGGCGATTCTTGTCCCATGCAGAGCGTGTGCCGGGCCGCCTTGGGGCTGCCCAGAGGCCTGCCAGAAGCCACTTCGAGATCACGTGCGGATCGCCCTCTGGGGGTCGCCCTGAGGGCACGATGTGCTCGCGTCGGGTTGACGCGGCGGCGACCCCGCGGCGGGCGTTCAAGGCTGAGCGCCGCCAGTGGCGTCGGCAACACGGAACGATCTGGCGATCGGAAGGCGGCCGATCGTGCGAGGTTGAAAGAACCGCGCGGTGTCGGAAAACAACGCTGGGGATGTCCCGACATGAGCCTGCCGCATTGTCACGTCGCTTGGTGCTGTGGGGCCACCATGGAAACGCACTGGGGTCGCGGTGCCGCCTTGGCATCGGTTTGTGTCCTCTAAAGGTCTTTCGCGCTTCCAAAGACATTATTATTGCGGCCAAGTCATGAGGACGATGGTGATGATGTGGATGTTGACGACGATGACGATGGTGTTGATGACGACCTCGTGGATGCTTGTTATTAAGCGAAGGCCGGTGAACATATGTTCACCAATGGTATTGCTGACGACGATGACAGTGACGATGACGACGGTGAATTATGATGATTCCGACGATGACAACGACGATGACTACGATGACGACAACGACGATGGTGAATGATAAATGATGATGATGCTGCTGATGATGATGATGATGATGATGATTGTCATGGTGATTGTGATGCTGATGCTGATGCTGATGATGATGATGCTGACAATGATGATGCTGCTGATGGTGATGATGATACTGATGATGATGATGCGATGACGGTGACGGTGACGATGACGATGATGATGATGGTGATGATGATACTGATATTTTTGTTGATGATGGCGATGATGATGTTGATGAAGATGAGTCTGACCATGAGTATGATGATGATGGTGCTGGTGAACCTGATTATAAATTCTAATCATTATCAATGTTATCATATATCAGCATGATGATGACGATGATGATGATGATGCTGATGCTGATGATGCTGATGATGATAATGATGATGAGGATGAGGATGAGGATGATGATGATGATGATGACGATGATGATGATGATGCTGATGATGATGATGATGCTGATGATGATGGTGGTGGTGGTGGTGACGATGATGATGATGATGGTGATGATGATGATGATGATGATGATGGTGATGATGATGATCATGATGCTGATGATGATGATGATGATTGATGATGATGATGACGATGATGATGATGATGATGATGATGATGATGAATGATGATGATGATATGATGATGATGATGATGATGAGATGATGATGATGATGATGATGATGATGATGATGATGGATGATGAGAGAGAGGAGGAGGAGGGGAGGAGAGGATGAGGATGAAGGAGGAGGAGAGGGAGGATGAGATGAGGAGAGGAGGAGAGGAGAGGAGGAGGAGGAGGAGGGAGGAGGAGGAGGACGATGATGGTGATGTGACGACGGCGACGACGACGACGACGACGACGACGACGGCGGCGGCGGCGGCGGCGATGGCGGCGACGACGACGACGGCGACAACGACGCTGACGACGACGTTGTTGAGGATCCTCCCGGGGCGCCGTGGGCCTCGGAGTGCTCGTCGGAGTGCTCGTCGGAGGCCTGCGATGGCCGTGGCCTGGAGCGCCGTGGGGCCCGCCGCGGCGCCCGCCGCCCGAGGCTGCGCCGCGCCGGCGCCCAGCCAGGGGCGCGCCCGGTGGCGGGGCCGCGCAGGCCCCGCGGCGCGTTCGCGGGCGGGGCGGCGCTCGGCGGGTCGGCCCATCTCTCCCTCCTCCTCCTCCTCCTCTCCCTCCTCCTCCTCCTCCTCCTCCTCCTCCTCCTCCTCCTCCTCCTCCTCCTCCCCCTCCTCAACTTCCTCCTCCTCCTCGTGTCTAGGCTTAAGTCGGGCGTCTCACCACCCACCAAACCACCCCAACCCAACCCGAAGGCTCAAATTTACCGTCGATTTCCAGTGGTGGGGGGGTCGGGGAACATCGAGAAAACACGCGTGGAACCCTTACCCCCCCCCCCAACCCGAAATTCGGGTCTTCGGGTTGGGTTGGGGTGGTCTGGTAGGTAGTCAATTTCTAGGCGTAAGTCGGGCGTGTCCCTCTACAGGAGGAACATTCAGAACCAGTCAAAACATATAATGGGGACGATGTTTGGAGTTTTTTTTTTTTTTTTTTTTTTTTTTTGTGTAAAACGATGTTTGAATATCTTTTGCCTCTTCTGAAAATCTTCTTTCAAAATCCGCCTGTAGGGGACATGCCCGACCTGACTCTAGGCCTCCCAGATGGGGTCGGAGTTGCAGATGGGGTCGGAGTAGATCAGAAGAGGAAAAGGTACCCATTCCGCTACCCTCGCTCCGTTTCCCCCTGTTTGGGCTTCCTGGGCGGTCCTCGTCGCCACCGCTGGATCCGCCTAGTAGTCCTGGTCAGAACGCACCCCAGGAGAGGTTCGGGGAGTAGCGGTAATGGTACCTTCCGGTTTCCCCAGTAGACGGGGTCGGAGGGTCGCGCCGCATCTCCGATGCATCGCCGATGCGGGTCGATGTGGAGCCTG